TCTGTGCAGCGCTTTGGGACGTCCTCCCGACGTGAAAAGCGCTATATCAAATGCAAAGATTATTATTATTATTATTATCTTCCAAGTATAAATGACTGAAGCTGCTTGAAATTGATGCTTTTTTTTTGGTAAAGCACTCTACTCTTACTTCCGTATTTTCCTATGCAATACAGTTCCACAATCATTTTTTTTTTTGGTCAGCCATCGCCAAGGTTAAGAGTAATCCAAACCGAAACAGTCTGAGAGTTCCTCATGTGTCTGCCACCTACACTTGGAAATGTACCTGTTTCTGGAATGTTTCCAGTGAATTATTAGGCACAGGTTGGCCAGGGTCAAGGCTTGGGGGAGCCCAGAGTTTATGTTTGGATACTGCTGAAGTTTAACCACCTAAAACTGCTTAGCTTGCCATTGAGCACTGCTCAACTATCTGCTTTTAAATCAATTTGATGGCATCTTCATTCCTATGCCTCAGCACTCGCACCAGCCGAGGGCTTTGAATTATCAGTTTTGCCACAGATTCTGTATCTCTCTTAAGAAAAACTCAATCAAGAAATACTTCTGCATCTGCTCCAGCAGATATAGCTCTGAATAAGTAATGCAGTGATATCTTCTTTGTGAAAACCGCAGCCCAGGGAATTTCCTGTTAAACCAAAAGCATAACAAACAGCTGCGGCGAACGGTTATCAGGTATGTTTTGGAAGGGATATGATCTGTTAAGCAGATGTGATAGAAATATTGCCCAAAGAGTTTACGTTCCATGTATTTTTTTGTCATTAGATAGTACATCTCAGTCAGGATTTCTCCTTTAACTGTTGATGACCACATAGATTTGGACTTCAGATCTGATAGGTGACTCTTCTCTTTACCTGTAGCCTACAATCTCTCTTGTTTGCATCCTTGCCAGTTATTTGCTGCTCTGAACTTTCCTCTGATTCCTTCCCAAATACCTCATCTGCCATCCCACATGCCCTATTCCTCCTCGAATCTTTGCTGCTTTCAGATCAGTGCTCATCATATTGTCTTTCATTCATTCTTGTTCAAGGATCTCAAAGCTGCCACAAACCCTGCATTACTGCTTGAATTACCCTTCATGTACACAAATATTTCCCAGTGCTTCTCCTCTAGGTTCCAACCAAGACTACTACCCAGGTTATTACCAAGGGAGTAATAATCCCTTCAAAAATAATAATGTGGTCAATCAATCCACGACTGTTTGTGGGACATTGCTGTGCGAAATTGGCTGCTGCGTTTCGCCCACAAAATATACAGTCAATTCACTTTACAGTGTATTCTGTGAAGCGCTTTGAGACGTCTCGAAGATGTGACATCTCAAAACGCGTTAGATGTGATATTCACATTTAAACAATGGACAGACTGGAAATCCTCCTGTTATCCCCTCCTTCCTTGCACGCCCCAACCCCCTCCCCCTGCCACACTCACATTAATTGAGTAGAATACCCTCAAAGAGACAATTGATTCTTGCGGGTGTGAATGGGCTTTGTTAAAACATTACAGTTATTTTGGCTGGATTTTAGGTTGGCTGGATTACATTCGATTGTCTTTTTACTGGATATCTTTAACAAGGAGTTACCGTACTGCAGGTTGAGGTTAATATGACCTTCTGATCGCAGTGCTGTCTAGCTTGTTCCTGTTTCTTATTCATAGAATTATGATTTTCATTAATTAGAATGTCCATGAGGTTTCACTCAGAGCTACCCTGGACTTTGCAGGTTCAGATGACAGGATAAGGATTCCCCGGCAGGAGTTGTTGGGAACGTGTGACCAGTTTGCCGCGCAAACCATTTTTTAAAATATATTGTTGATGTTGCGCTGTGAATTTCCTATCATGTCCAACAATCCTCCAGATAAACTGCTGATTCATCTCATGGCTGTTTGTGGGAGTTTGTCCCTCGCAAAACGACTGCTGCCTTTGCCTACAAAAAGCAGTCGCCATGTTTGACGGTCATTAGAGGGGCTTTGCCCTTCTTTATCTGTCTTAAAATTCTACCTTAAAACTACCTCTTAGACCGCACCTATGACTCCACCTCCCCACTCATCCTCCCCACATTCTTTTCCTAGCTCAGGTCCAATTTCACCACATTGAAGCACTCTTTGAGATGTTATCCGATGTGAAGGGGCTATATAAATCCAAGTTGTTGTTGTTGTAGTGGGAAGGATTTGGAGACACTGACAACAGGCACCATAAGTTTGTTCTTCTTATAGAGCACCAATTGCACCTGCGCTTAATAATAATAATAATCCTTGCATTTGATATAGCGCTTTTCACGTATTCTCGACATCTCAAAGCGCTTCACAGAATGACTGTAAAGTGAATTGACCGTATATTTTTGGGCGAAACGCGGCAGCCAATTGTGCACAGCAGCGTCCCACAAACAGTCGTGGATTGAAAATGACCAATTTATTATCGTTTTGTTTTGGAGGGATTATTATTAGGCGTGTGCAGTAAGGAAACTTGCCCAAGGTTTCGCCCTGTCTGGAATTGAACCCAGGTGTCTCGCTTGCAAAGCGAGTGCTCTAACCACTGAACTACAGGACTCCACAGAAAGCTTGTAACTTTCTACGTTTATTTCTGTATTTCTAGACCTTCAGTAGTGCAGTTGGTAGACACATGCCCATTAGCCTGTTTGACAAATAAGCTGGATCACGGGAAAGGTGCTGCAAAGCCAAAGACGATGCTGACAGATTAACCATGAACTGTGGAGCATTGCCAGTGACTCCCTGGTATAAAATAAATGAGGTCTGAATAAATGACCTCAGGAATGATCCCAAAATGGCTTAGCTATTTCTAATTTGGTAACTCATCAAAATACAATATCTCTTATAGTTATACATGTTACTGACATTAAATTTAATATAGACATTCATTCTCCCCATAGAATTATAATTAAGGAATAATGAGACAGAGAAATGATTTGCAAGCCACAGGTCACTTTTTGAAATACTGCGGCTTATTTCAAGATGTAGAGTCACCCTATAAGACGAGGCAGGGGACAAAAGATCATTTTATTTCCTTTTTTTTTCAAAAACTGATTTGAAAGCCATCAAGCCGTATTCCAGGCTCTCTCTCCTTTTTTCAAATGAGTTACTATTGATTTGAGTTGGTTTTGACAGTGTACCCTTCAGGCCAACGTGGGTCCATTCATTGTAAGTACACTCAGGAGATGGTTCATAACTGACTTGGTCAATATAAATTAGTTTTCCTTGTGCTAGTGTACGCAGGAGAAGCAATTTAGATTGGCTAATGAAAAACTGGATCACTCGACACCACAGAGACTGATCATCATCTCTCTGCTTTAATAGGTGAAAAGCTCCTTTCAGATTAACTTTATTTGAACACAGAAGCAGCGAAAATGTGTAGGCAGGTACTGTTTCGATTTAAATAAACCGTCACAACAGACTATATCGGATTTGTCATTAGCTTAACAATTTTTCTTCTGTTCAAAATCAATTTCAACAAAGACGGGGCGTCTAATGTAATGATTGCTAACCCACACAGCCAGCATTCACCCTGCCTGCACCTAATGTTTTGGCTTTTACTGAGTGCCGAATTTGTCACACAGGCACTTTCTGGCATAATGCTGTTAATCTTTGTTGTGAAAGGTGCCTGCCTTCTCTGCAGACAGACGGCATGCTATTCAATCCATTACACAGACAGATTTAAGCAGGAGGGATTGCAGCTCAATACAGGACTCATTTTTCACTCACATTGTGGGCAAATATTCTGATAATAGATGCTTTAAGGGATCCAGGTAGTGGAATTTTATTATAAGATGTTTCACAATATAAGTTGAACATACGGAATTTATGTTAATTGGCAGATTTACACTGCCGTGAGTTTTCCCAATAATGTTTATAATGTACACCCTCTATGAAGGTTCTATTTTATCAAATTAGCAGAAACATTCCCCAGTTATACCTCTCAATCCTGGCACAGCTTCCTGTTCAGTGTGTGTTAAATATTGTGCTCACTGAGTGGTGGGAGGTGTGAATAATGCGGCAAGAGCTGACAAGAAAATGTGTCATCTTTGTTATCTTGTACCAAAACAAGGCTTCAAGTGTAAAAAGTAATTCAACATAAAGTGGTTGAGTTAGGTAACGCTACTTCTTAATTTTATCCGGGTTGTTCCAGATTCAAGACGTCTCAAAGCATTCACAGGCTTTTTACTGCGAAGTGTAGTGACTGTATGATTATGAAGAGGGCTACACGCTGTAGATGCAAATTGTATTGTAGGCAAATGGGAGGTGATCGGAAGGCAATTTGGAGGCATTCCAACAGTACATGTAAATGGTGAATTTAATGATACCTGCGAAGTTTGGCACTTAAGTGGAGATCCTCCCAATTGATGCTACCTTTATCTTGGTATCTGTCTGTCTTGCCTCTGAAGCCAAATAAAAATACAGGAGCCTGAGAAATGCCAATCAGCAGCTAGTTTCTGCCTATTTACTTTTATTTGGCTTCAGTCCTGGATTTGCGCAAGTGAAATGCGTGTATATAGCCATCCTGTTACAGTAGTAATTGTTGAGTGCCCCACTCTATTAACCTCTGTGGAATTACTTTGTCTATGCTAAACACTTTTGATGAGCATTATGGAATAGATCTGTAAATGTAATTACAAATTGAACTCCATCCCGCATTCTCTTCACCTCGCTCCCTCTCTTGCTTCCTTCAAGGCATGTTTCAAGTCCCTCCTCTTCGACCGTGGCTTTGGCCACCCTCCTACCCTCCCTGCCCTCCACCCTCCCTGATACCGACCCTCCTGCTCGGGTCCAAATCCCTGACTGTCCAGAGCCTTGGGACGTCCTTCCGACAGGAAAGGCGCTGTACAAATGTCATTTTGTATCGTATTACAGGAGCTGCAAAATATATTGTAATTTAAATCTCTAGGAGGTTATGGTTGTATAAATGGCAACACTGGATGTTTTGTTCAGATGGTGATATATTGCGGTTATTTTAAATGCTCTTACTTTTATTTCTGCAGTTTGTAAACCAGGATTCTTCAAGGCCTCACCGTACAGCCCTTCCTGCAGCAAATGTCCTCCTTACAGCTATACCCACAAAGAGGGATCCGTTTCGTGTCGGTGTGTGGAAAGCTACTTCAGAAGAGACAATGATCCACCTGTCATGGCCTGCACAAGTGAGCATGCTTTAGTAACCCATGAACCTTATTTCTAAATCCTTCAGACAATCCTATAACTTCAAAATGCATGGGCAAATTTTGCAATATTTCTCAACCAGATTTCAAGGACTCCATCGGAGTTTATGATAATAATAAATAACGATCCTTGCGTTTTCTACAGCGACGTATCACGTCTTCGAGACGTCTCAAAGCGCTTCATGGAATATACTGCAAAGTGAATTGACTATGTTTTGTGGGCGAAACACAACAGCGAATTGCACACGGCAGTATCATTCTTCTGATAGTAAATTGAGCACCGGGTGGAGGCTGTTCAGCCACTCGAGCCGGCTCTGCCACACGCCATTCTATGCCACACAGGCTACAATCTCGCCTGAAAGGCTGCGATGCCCTTCAAGGTTAATAACTTGCTGAACACTTATTGTGTAGCTTAAACATGAAGAATTGCCAATTGTTCGAAGTATCGGAGGGCGGTCAGTGTCTGATGAACCTTATCCCAACATAAATCATGTCTTTAAGCAGAAGAAGAGATTAGAGAGTTCAAAGTGTCCTCTGTTTTAAAGTGAAAGGGTCGTCAATTAGGAACATAGAAAATAAGGTACCAGAGAAGGTCATTTAGCCACTCAAACTAGCTCTGCCACATGTGCAATCTCCCCTTAATCCCATCTCCTGCCTTGTTCCCATTTCCTTTAATATTTTTATTACAATTTACTATTGTGGTCTATTGTTGGTGTGCGATTTGTTTTAAGGTCTAATACGTTGTGAAATTTGAAAGCAGAAGAGTGATACTTTAATATTTTTACTTCTCAAGTATCTATGCATCTCTCACTTAAATCCCTCAACCTCTGTTTACCTAGCGGTAAGTAGGTAGTAGGGTAATAAACCCTTCAAAAATAAATATATAGATAAAACAATAATAATAATTTGATCACTCAATCCATGACTGTTTGTGGGATCTGCTGTCCGCATTTTGCCCACGCATTATACAGTCAACTCACTTTACAGTATATTCTGTGAAGAGCTTTGAGACATTTCGAAGACATGCTAAGACATTATGTCAAATGAAAGGATTATTATTATTAACGGATTTCTCATCTATGTCTTTCTGGGGCAGTGCGTTCCAGGTTCGTATTACACTGCAATTCATCTCGAACCTAAGGTTATGTCCTCTTGTAACTGATGGACTCACCAGGGGATAAATAAACACACATTGCTTACTTTGTCTAGTCCTTTCATAACTCAACATAATTACCACAAATTGCTCCTCAACTGCAGAGAGTACGTCACCAACCTAACCAGCCTTTCCCTACAATTACCTATATTCAGTACAGTGCCAGCCAGAAATGATCTTTGTAGTCAGTATGGTTAGCTGTTCCCCCTTCTCTTGTGGTGGGATGAAGTCCCATGGAAGCTAACAACTACTTCTACAGAATGTTTAGGCAACAGTTGTGTTTCCTGGATGTTATTGTAAGTACAAACAAAACTGCAAGGAATGGGAAGAATTGCAATAGCAGAGTGACATTCCGAGATACCTATCAATATACCTTGATGTTAAATTCGACTTCACGAGAGTACGATAGATGACGACTGAAGTTTACTGTTTTGGCAATTTGCTCAGGTGGAGTCTGCACAGATCTTGTAGTTTATGCATCAAATTAATCTCAAAATGTGGAAAGTGATGTGACATATATTAAAGCCAGAAATAATTGTCTTAAGTACATTGTTGATTTCATTAGGTTTATTTCTTAAGAATTAGTAGAATCATAGACTATTACAGCACAGAAGGAGGTCATTCAGCCCATCGTGTCTGTGCCGGCTCTTTGGAAGCGCTACCCAATCATTCCCACTCCCCGCTCTTTCCCCATATCCTTGCAAATTTTTCCTCTTCAAGTACCTATCCAATTCCCTTTTGAAAGTTGTTATTGAATCTGTTTCCACCACCCATTCAGGCAGTGCATTCCAGATCGTAACAACTCTCCGGGTAAAAAAAAATATTCTCCTCACCTCTGGTTCTTTTGCCAATTATCTTAAATCTACGTGCCCTGGTTACTAACCCACCTGGCAGTGGAAACAGTTTCTCCCTATCTACTCGATTAAAACCCCTCATTATTTTGAACACCCCTATTAAATATATGAAACATAATGCTTTTAAACAGTGTATTTTTTTTTCAAATTAACTTCTAGTTGAGCAGCGTTGCATGGAAATAAATTATCGCCCAATTTGGAACAAATCATTTACTTAATCCTTTTGAGATTTAACCATTTACGTGGGTCGGGCATCGTAAGGACCGGGGAATCAACATTGTGTTTTTTTTGTCATTGGTGACAGGGCCACCTTCTGCTCCGCAGAATGTTATCTCCAACATCAACAAGACCAGTGTTATTTTGGACTGGAGCCCTCCTATTGACACCGGTGGGCGAAAGGACATCAAGTACATCATCGTCTGCAAACGGTGCAGTGTGGACTTGTTCCAGTGTGAGGAGTGCGGCAGCGGTGTCAGGTATATCCCGCAGCGGTCTGGTCTCAAGAACACCTCGGTGATGGTGATGGATCTCCTGGCTCACACCAATTACACCTTCGAGATCGAAGCGGTGAACGGAGTGTCGGAGATGAGCCCAACGCCCAGGCAGTTCGTGTCCGTCAATGTCACCACAAACCAAGCGGGTAGGTACTCCTCGGTTGGCTTCTTTGGGATTCAGACAGGGATTGTAAATGCACTTCGGTTCATTGCCGCTGTGATCTCCACCGACAGCTGAGCATTTGTGCAACCTCCTGTAGCTCAGTGGTTAGAGCACTCGCCTCGCACTGGGTTCGATTCCTGGCAGGGCCAAATGTTGGGCAAGTTTCCTTACTCCACACGCCTGATAATAAACCTTCAAGAAAAAAAACAATAATAAATTGGTCGCTTCAATCCACGACTGTTTGTGGGACACTGCTGTGCGCAATTGGCTGCTGCGTTTCGCCCACAAATATACAGTCAATTCACTTTACAGTCTATTCTGTGAAGGGCTTTGAGACGTCTCGAAGACATGAAAAAGCGCAATATCAAATACAAGGATTATTATTATTATTATTTGTCGTCGACAACTCAAAACATTTGTTTTTGACTCATCTTTTAGAATGAGTGATTGTTTGAGTGTCAACTGGTTGCGATGACGACCTGAATTTTGATGGAATTCTTAAGACGGGTACAGTGCAGTCCTGTTCTGATGCATTTCGTCGTTGCTAATAAAACCGGTTCGCTGTGAGCGGTTGGCCAGCTTCCTGCGCTGTGAGGCACATTCACAACAAAGGCACCTTGCATGAGCAGGTTACGTTGTGCATTGATTGTGATGGTTGTGATGTCCGTGCAGGGTAAGGAAAGTGCCGTAAGTGACCTGAGAGTCAGCCATTTTTAGCACAGGAAGATGGACAACTTTCTACTCGCACGTGGAGTGAAGTTATTAGTCGTGTGATCGGTGATATCACCGTACAGAAGTGATGAGCAGCGTTTGTGCCCAGTTACTGATTTAGAATATATGAAACCGAATTGCCGAGTTATAACAGGGCTGCATGGAAGTCCACGTGACTTAATCATTTGCAATACAATGTAAGGTACATAAGAACGTAAGAATTGCTCGGTGAAAGAAGACCAAGGTCCATGTACTGTAGTTCACCTTCCACCATCCTGGCAGTCGCTAGACATGTCATCTCCCAAACTATATGCTGAATCCATGAGATATTATTTGAATGAAAACATTTGATGCAGTGTTTAGCAATGCAATGTTTAGCACGTAATATGTACGGCATACGCTTTGTTAATGAGGAAAATACTAATCTAGATAATAGATGATGTATAAATTGCTTCATTTTGTTATGTTTAAATGTCTTCAAAAGAAATATGAGATTATTTCAGTCATTTTTCCCCTTTTTCTGTGTCTGTGTTCAAATTCTGGATATGTAGTTCATTCCACCCTAGAACAGTGCCCTATAACAATCTAATTGCAACAAGGACAACTACAGTAACTTGCATTTACATTGTGCCCTTCACGTGGAGTAGTGTCCCGGAGCGATTACAGTGATCTGGCTGCCTCAAGGAAACAAGAGACACAATAATAATCCTTGCATTTGATACAGCGCCTTATCACGTCTTCAAGATGTCTCAGAGTGCTTCACAGAATATCCTGTAAAGTTAATTGACTGCATATCTTGTGGGCGAAACACGGCAGCCAATTGCGCACAACAGTGTCCCACAAACAGTCGTGGATTGAGTGACAATTTATTATTTTTTTAAGGAACTATTACCCCAGAAAAATGATCCGCCAATCAACTACCAACTGGGTTCACACTTACTGCTAGGTAAACAGAGGCTTGTGGGGTCAGGAAACCTGCCCAACATTTCGCCCTGCCTGGGAATCGAACCCAGATTTCTCGCTAGTGAAGTGAGCGCTCTAATCTGTAGCTCCACTAAGCTACAGGACTCCACTATGATGGCCATAGTCCTTGACGAACTGACTTGTTTTAAATTCCAGAGGTTTGGTTTGCTTGCAGAACTATTGCACAATAATTGGCTTGTGTAGTCCCGGGACCAGATAATGGCGGTGTATGGGTAATCAGTGATTGCGTGTTGTGAGAATGACCCTGTTGAAATGATCAAGAAACATTCTTGTGCTGACGTGAAAAATTAGAATGTTTTTTCATATCCTATGAAGCTTGAGTTCATCCTGCAGCTTTTGAAAGTCCCGGTACATCTATTAACCTAAACAATATAAGTATAGTATAATGATTATAATAAATAATACTTGCATTTTTGGGCAAGGGCTATTATAATAGCTTTCAAAGGAAAGCTGATTGTTCAGAGGGTCTGCACAATATTTTTCACGTCTGGGAGCCTGGCTTGAATGCAGCCAACATTGGTGAGATGAAAGGCTCCGCCAGCAAGTAACTTGAAAGAACATACAGAAAACAAGGACTCGGTTGAAGCTGAACTGACTCCAAGTTGACACTCTTGGCAACGGAATCACAGAATTGAGTCAACCCTCTGTAGCGGTCTCGGTAGTCCAGTTCCTGAACCAGGCAGGTCCGCATTACTCCAGGGGACTGATGATGGCAGCACAGCCAGCCTGGATCATCAGTAGGAATTGGAGGGCACTTGGGGCAAGGATTCTTCCCATTCAGCTTCTGTTTACCCAGCAAATCAAAGCCACTACAGGTAGGGTCGTCCTAGCTGAACACAGCAGGAAGCTTGCTAGATTGAATATGCTGGAGTTCTGTCTCGGAAGCTGGACTTAATTCTGAACACCAGTGTAGGCTCTAACATTTGATTTGTTTTTTTGGTTAACACTCCATCCTTAGAATGTGAAGGTTGTGGATCCAAGCCCCATGTCAGGTTCTGAGCTCATAATCCGGGCTGACACTCTAGCGTAGGTAGGAGTGTGTTTTATTTAGTCGGAATGATGTCTGATAGATGCAGAAAATGATCATCAGCAGCAGTGCCCTGCAGGACTGTGGACGCACCTGGCTCAGGAACTGGACTGCGAGACAGCCATAGAGAATTGACTTCATTCCAAAATTCTGTTACCAAACACATCACCTTGGAGCCAGCTCAGCCCGAAGAGGGGCCTATTTACCTCCGCCTCTCCTGTCCGCTAAGTAGGTTACTCTCATTAATTGGTCATTCGATATCCATCAAGAGTCGATCTCACTAAGTGGATTGCAGGTTCCACAACTCCCTGTGAGCCTCTTAGTGAGCAGCACAACTCAGGCTAAATGTGTCAGAGTGTTGCCTGCATTCTCTTGAATATAAGTCCTGTATTTATCAATGCCTGTTCATCAATCTGGACTCCAGGCATCACCTTCCACCAGATGTCGTCCCAAGCCTCAGTTTCCTCATCAGCTATTCAATGGACATCTGCCCCGCCAACATGGTGGGAGGACCTTTACAAGACAGATTGTGAGAGCCAGCCACCTCGTTGTTCTGGAGGTCCAAGTTCCAGTGCCATGTACCAGATTTATTCAGCACTATCAGGTCAGAGGCTTCCTACCCTGAAGCTAGTTTCTGTTTATGCCACAAATCCACTTCACTGCTTATCCTGAACCATACAGGAGGATTATTTAGGCACATGTTTTACACCCCGCAAGCCTAATCTGCATTGGGACTTCCTTATCATTGAAGAGAGATGAAGATTGATCAGAGATGTCAAATGATGTTTCTGTCTCCCTGTTTTCAGGTCAGCATCGAAGATACATGACTATTTAAAAAGAGAAGCGAGCTTGTCATGATGTCCCAGGCCAATGTTGCTACAGATTAATAGATCATTCACCTTGTGGTTGTTCATGGGACTTTGCTGGCGTATATGACTGACACCTACCTTTACCTAAATAAAATTAGTCTCTACTCATGACAGCATTTACTTGTGAAGTGTTTTGAAGCTTCCTGACACAAACCAGCATAAAATTGCATGTTCTCTCTTGCTGTAAATCCAAGTGGGAGTGTTTAATCACATCACGTTCAAAGATAATGGTTATAAGCATCTCCAGCGCTGTTCCTCACCTGACGTATACAGGACTCGCATGGAAATTATATGCTTGACAACTCAAGGCTTTAATACCATCATGTTTTTTTTCATTTATGATAATAATAAGCTCCTTTAGTAAGATGCGACTTATCTTAGGAACTACGGATGACCTTGTCAAAGCTGCACATTGCAAATCCATGCTATCTACACATATGGTCACACAAATCCTATTGGCCAACATACATTGCTGACACTAGAAAGAAAAGTTCTACAAAAGGGTCAGCAGTAACACAGAAAAAAGCTTCAGGATGCATGATAAGGAAGATCCACTCACTGTAAGTCGGCAGTCCGCCGAAAACTGGAACAATCATGACCAGCCTGATCATTCCCTTGCTGGCAGTCAGACTTGATCAATTTTCTAAATGTAAATAATTCTGAATCATGTGTCCGTGTGCATCCAATATTAATGTATGAGTTCAGAGAATTGCCCTTTTGAAGGAAGATAGCTGATCAATGATATCTTTCTGGTTCCCAGGGTGGCAGATCAAGAATGATCTGTTATGCTTAACTGTTAAGCTTAATTGCTTAACTGTTCCCACTATTGGAATCAGGTTTGAATGAAGACAAGTTTCAAAGATGATTAAACTTTTGATCGTTGGACGTAAACCTTTGAATACCTTTCTTTCCTGACCTCCCTGAGCCTTCCTCCTACTGAATGCAGGGTTTTAAATTCGAAATTTGCTGTTCCCACCCTGTAACCATGTCTCGATTAATTTTGTCTTCTCCCATGCTTGTGTGGAGCCCTGTAGCTCAGTGGTTAGATCACTCGCCTCACAAGCGAGAGACCTGGGTTTGATTACCGGCAGGGCAAAACCGTGGGCAAGTTTCCTTACTCCACACGCCTGATAATAATCTCTCAAAAAAACAGCAATAATAATTTGGTCACTTCAATCCACGACTGTTTGTGGGACACTACTGTGCGCAATTGGCTGCCGCGTTTCGCCCACAAATATACAGTCAATTCACTTTGCAGTATATTCGGTGAAGTGCTTTGAGACATCTAAATGACGTGAAAAGCTATATATCAAATGCAAGGATTATTATTATTATTATTATTAAACCCTAGGGGTCTCCAGCAGTAAGAGCCCTTGGCCTTCACTTGGGTCT